CCGCCCAGCCGCCGCTCACGGATGCCAGGCACGCTCTCCACGGGGATCTGCCGCACACCCTCCTTGAAGCAGCTGAGCCCGGGGTAGACCTTGCGGATCTGGGCCTGTTTGCGCTCGATCAGCTTCTTGATGATCTGGGGGTGGGGGCGGTGACACTTGGTTCCCATGGGTCCTCCAACGTCCCCGCGGGGAGGTCACCCAGCACACACGGATGCGAGCGCGGAGCGGGGTGCGGAGCGGGGCACACCGCGCACCTCCTTCTGCTTCTTGATGATGTGTGACAGCTCCGTGTATGGGATCCGTGGGTTCAGCTCACACTCCATCAGCGTCGCCCCCTCGTAGTCCTTGATGTAGCCCAGGTAGCGGCTCTTGGGGACCTTGATGTCCTTGGAGAAGCCCTGGTGTGTGTGGTGAGGACCCTGTCTTCAGCATGTGCTCCCCGACCCTGGTGGCCTGAGCCCCCCACCCTGCAGGGCCGAAGGACTGGATCTGTCTGTTCCCCACCCTGCAGGCGCCAGCGGGAGCAGGGACAGGAGGGCTGGCGGGTGGGCCGGGCTTGCCTGCTTCTTGAAGTAGCCGATGGCGTACTCGTCTGCGTAGGTGAGGAAGTAGAGGATGCCATGCTTGATGTGGTACTCCTTCAGGTGGTTCATCAGGTGGGTGCCGTAACCCTGAGGGACGGGCAGTCAGCCAGGGAGGGGCCTCCGGTCACGGCACGATGCAAACGGAGGCCCCATACCCGTGCTGGGGCTGGGACAGGAAGTTCGCTCGCTCGCCAGCACCAAGGGAGACATGAGAATGAAAGAAAAGCAAAGTTGTTGACTCCGGGCTCCATTTCCCAAGTTCCTTGGGTGCGATACCAAGGTTGAACCAGGGCCTCTGCACTGAGCCCTTTCATTTTTTCTGAGGCAGGGTCTTACTACATTGCTAGTTGCCCAGGTTGGGCTCCAACTTGAGATCCTCCTGCCTCTGCCTCCCTCAGTGCTGGGATTATAAGCACCTGGCCACAACCAGTGACTCCCTAATTCTCAGTGCGCAGGTCCAGCTTCCCCAGCTGGGGCCTTGAAGCACGAACTCCACCCCAAGGGAGGGCTGAGGCCCCGCCGTGCCGCATGGACCTAGGCAGGGACAGGGCTCGCACTCACCTTGACCTGCTCATTGGAGGTGACTGCACAGAAGACGATTTCGGTGAATCCCTGGGTGGGGAACACTCGGAAGCAGATGCCACCGATGACGCGCCCATCCTTGATCAGTGCCAGCGTCTTGTGCTTCCTAGGAGAGAGGTGTCAGGGCAGCGCCTGTCCCCGCGCCCACGGCCTGGCTGGGGTCAGGCCTGGCAGGGAAGGGCAGGTGCCGACCCGGGTGGGACTCACGGGTCGAAGACGAGGCGGGCGATGTACTCCTTGGGCATGCGTGGCAGCTGGTGCGAGAAGACGTTCTGCAGGCCCACCAGCCACAGGAGCACCCGCCGGTTGGCCTTCGGTGCCAGCGAGTTGCCGACGACGTGGAACTCAATGATGCCACGCCGCTCCTCC